ATCCTTTATTAGATAAAACTATGTGGCTATAGGTCGAACAAGTTGTAAGCGGCAAAATTTTTTTTAACAGAAGCGATTATTAAGGAAAGGCAATTTTTTTTGCTTGGGCATTAGGTTTACAAGATAATGTGTTAAAATTTTCCAATAGATAGGTTCATAAGTTCAAAAAAAGAAATAATCTGCGAAACTACCGATTATATGAAGAAGCCAATAGTGCGCTAATAGAATTACTTCCAGAACAAAGAGTAAAGTTATGCGAAATAATCAAAAAGTATCCATTAAATAATATTTTTAATACTGATGAAACGGGTTTATATTTTTGTATAGCACCACATCAAATGCTCGCATCACAACTACAATCGAGTTGCAAGAAGGTTTTTTTTTAATTTGTTCTGATACAATCAATATTTAAAATTCGAGTTTAATTTTATGTTCTCAAAAAATTATAATTTTTTTTATATAAAATATTAAAATTTTTTTAATGCTTAAAAATTCATTTAATGTTCACAAATGAGAGAAAATAGCCCTCTGTAAATTAGTATTATTTATTTTTTGGGAGCTTAAAAATTACAACAGAGATTCCTGATGATCATAGAATACAGATAGCCCGAAGGGCTGCATTATATAATCATCAGGAATTCTCTGTTGTAATTTTAAACTTCTTACAAGAAATAAATGAATAATACCCTGCCTTACGTTGTTCATGCCTACCTTTATTATAATTTCACGTGATTATTTGTGATCAGAAATCTTCTCATAGAAGATTTCTGATCATGATATGATTGCGCGAGAAATTATAATGAAAGTAAGCATAAACAACAAATAGTAAAGCAGTGTATTATAGTATATTATTGATTATTTATCTAATTCAGCCCCTCTGGCTAATAACACATCAGGCTTTTAATTATATGACATATCAGCTAAAAAATAATCACGATATGTATATACATACAATACAGTACAAATTTTCAAAGCCTAATGCATCATTGATCAGAAGGGCTAACTCAGATTAATAATCATTAATATATTACAATTTACAGAGAGACATTTTCCCTTGACAGCACTTAAATAAAAAATATGCGTTAATAAGTTATAGGGTATTTTTGTATGGTACCCATGCATTTGATGCTCCTCTTCTATATTTTAATCAGGAGTACTAAATAAAAATATTCCTTGATAAATTTTACTATAAACTATATCTTATTCTAACTCTACCCTTTATACTTAATCTTAGTTTAATAATCTTATATTTACTAATTATTAGAGCATAAAGCATCATTTAACATTTCTGTAAAGGGGCTACCAAATTTGTGTATCGATCTTGAAGAATACTAAAAACATCAAATTTTAAACATTGGTTACAACTTAAATCGAATATGTTAAATTTATTTAGTTTACTGATTTTAGTCATTTGTACGTTATTTAGGATCGTGCGTGTATTGTGGTTATGCTAGCCGCAAATATGACTGGAACTGAAAAATTACAACCTATAGTAATTAGATCTTCTATTCTTATCTAGAACTCTATTATGATTTCATTCCCACTCACAACATATATAATTTAGTAATTGATAAAATGTC